AAAATTCAAGATTTCGCATACTGTACGTCCTGATCAGTATGCTGATAGTTGGTGTCCCGATCAGCATACTAACATATTGATATGACATTTGTTATTCATGTTGTAAAGTGGCAAAAGAATATGAAGAGGCAACGACTCAGTCCTCAATGTCTCCCTTTGTTAGAGACCGAAGAAATCATCCCTGCCAAACCTTATTCAATGTATTCTTCATGAACCCTAAGCTTCAAACTGGCAAGCTGCGAGAGCTCTCTCCACTGAAACCAGATCTGATGAAATTCTTTCAGCCAGGCAGTGCAAACTCACCTATTTCACGGTAGGGGAAACGCAGAGGCTACAAATGAACCAGATAAAATGCTTCTCCTATTTATACCGTACAAAATCATATCCATTTTTCATCACGTTCACATAGCGAGTGGTGAATGACATTTCCCCGGGCCATTAGTTAAACACGGTCGGCTTCACACAGATACACGCACGCAGATAAAACGCGTATGAAAATAAACTGTCTCGTCCCTCTCGGCTCTGTCCGTCCAACTCCCACTTGTGCCCTTTAATATTCTGAAGCAAGTCAAACTATTTTAGGTGGCATTAACCTCTTCCGGCTGCTTGCATGTGAATATCACAACACTGGTAAACTGCTATGATTGTAACCTTCTACGTGATATAATCTTCTTTGAGTTCAAAAATTCTACTAGGTTCATTTATTTTCATGAAACACAGAATAACAGGCAGAGAGTGAGCAGTTTGGAGCCATTGTGGCATCTGACGGGTTGTGATTTATACTCAAACTGACAGCTTTGTCAGCATGAAGCATGTGTTTACAGTCAATGAGACTCAGGTATTTAACGTCACAGGGAACCGTGAATGACAGTGATGTTTTTACACTGGCTGTGCAAACAAAGACTAGGGAAGCTGGAGCCACAAAACATGCCGGAGGGAGACTTCATTCCATCCTCAGGTGCATATCACCCCACTCTGTATTTACATTACAAATTGTTGTTTGCTGCCATGTTAATGCTCTAAATGTCAAAGTTAGCGCTTTTAATAACTCATTTTACATAACAGAAACCTCTCAGATAGCATAAGCTGAGAAAATGTTTATCTTTGTCAAACGCAAAAAAGGATTTCAGAAAACAGTGCAGTGGGATTCTGCAAGGAAGGACCCCTGCAGGCTCTTTTACAAAATATGCTTTCAGATATTTCAGAAAAGAGGAAGCGACTCTCTACTTATTTGTATCTTGAGGAGGTCAGTCCACTGAAAGAAAGCTAAGGCCCTATGGTTCTATTTCACTCAGGCACATGGAGATGGATAGACAGCGCGTGCAGGAGTCCTTGGCTGAACTGAAAAAAACGCTGACGTGGCACCGAACCCTCTTACAGCGCGATGACGCCTCTACCTATCACTCCACGATGCACGCGCTTCAACACAAAAAGCGCACACTTTCATGCATTATTTTTTCCACACAGACGGATGTGCTCTCACATGCAAAATTTGCAAATGCACATGAGCCTGCACAGGTGCGTGCACGATCACGCATGGTCGCACAGACTGCGCACGCACAGCAGAGCACATACCTCTCCATCACTGTACGTCAATCTTGTCACACCTTTATCACTCCGTCCAGTCTCCTATATAATCAGCATCAGTCTCTATTGTCACACTCCTACCATCAAAAACGTAAATTTACACAAAAACCTATCACACAAAAGCAGACACACACACTCAGGTCAGTTGAGTGATGTGGGAGTGTGTATTTCTCTTCCGCCTGTGTTAAAGTGAGTCATCTATCCTTCCACAGCTTCATTACAACCTGCAAGGGCAAACACTATCTCTCTCTCTCTCTCTCTCTCTCTCTCCCTCTCTCTGTCTCCCTCTCCAGATGGAGGGAAAGGAGAGAGTGACTGAGGTATTCAGTAGATAGAAGGTGAGAACCCCTCTCCGTCCCCCTCCCTCTCTCTTTGTATGCCCCCCATCTTGTTCCTTTGTCTCTATATTTATCTTTTGTCTATGTTTATTGCCTTAAACCTTGTGTTTTCAATGACACACTTCCTCTCTTCCTCTCCCGGCTAGCCTCCAGCAAATGACAGTATGGTTTAGCAGATTGTGCTGTAAACATTTTTACCCACAGAGAGATGCAACAACGCGAATGCGACGGAGTAGATAAATGCACAGACTGAAGGCCAAAATGTCCGGCTCTGTCCAGTTGATTGTTTCTTCGGGGGATACCTTTTAAGGGTTTGAGTAAGGCCCCTTTGAGGTACATCTTAATGCAACAGCAAAAAATGTAATTTCTTCCCATAATGTGCTTAAACAAATATGTAAAATAGAACATGCATGAGAACTGAGTCATGATGAGGACAAACTGGTCCAGAGAGGGATCCTAGTAGGCTTTAAGTGTCCCAAATTCCTGTTTTGCATTCAACATGTCATGTATGGGTGTTTTGTTCCTTTAGACAGATTCATCTGATACATCTAGACATGGAAGGTCAAAAAGAAGTATGGAAACGATCATGTTTTTGGGAGGCACGATGAGAGACAGATGGACATAAAAAGAGGAATTTCTTGTGTTCTTACCTGTCGCTCTTGCAGCTCACACCGAGCTCGTGGAAAGCTTTGCTTTTTGAGGGCCTGCAGAAGCATGAATAATGCATAGGTAAAACCTCGCTATTTTCTAAATTTTAAATGCCTAGCTGTTATAAAAAAGAACTTTGTCAGTGGAGCCTTAGCAGGCTTGCACGCAACAATGTGGCTTCTACAGTAAAACTTTGATCAATATATATATATATATATAACGGGTATATTGAATTACCGTCCAGCAGAATCATCTTCATTGCCCAACTAGAACTTAATATTGTCCATAATGTTAATGATACAAATGTATTCACGAACATTTATTTCTAACAAGAAATTGAAATAAAGTTTTCACTAAACTCGGACGTTAGGTTTTTCAATATCGACCCTCAAAAACGCCACAACACAATGGAATGACTCACCAAAAAGTTGAAAGAGGATTGAAGCCTTGCAGTCCCTCTACTGGCTCGTAGTGCAGGCTGAGGAAAGCTGAGGAAAATGTTGCAGCGTTATGTCTGAGACGCCTCTTTGATGGAATATCATTGTGCTCAGCCTCCCCGAGGAACATTAGAACAGATTCAACCAGACCACATGCTGCTTTTTGTCCCCGATGACCAACAGTCACCATAAACAAACGAATATACGAGTTAAATGAAAACCAAAAGGGTCATTTGACATTTGAATGTTTTTTGGGGAAAACACTGTAGTTCAGCAAGGAGTTTATTAAGGGTTAAAACAATTAGTCATAAGTTTCCTATTGATCCCTCCCCAAGGTCTCTTATCCCGAAAACTTCAGACAGGCTCATTACTCTAAAAGACAACCTTATAGACAGTAAGGGCTGATAAAGCTAGATCAATTCCACTGATCAGTTTTCACCACAGTATGGATAAGCGCACAGAACAACAATAGACAGAAAGGGCATTCTCATTAAATGAAAGCTTTCAAACTGTCTTTTGGCTACTATACACAAGGGGAAACTTAGAGGGTGTGATGTTATCCTGTTTCTTACAGTCTCAAGGAAGATTGTTGAAATCCAAATTCTTTATTGGATCCTAGGCCATCCAGTCGAAAGAGATCTGCATTGTTAACGCGACTAACTAACACGTTAGTTCCACAGAGCTAAGGATGGGAGAAAAGGACCGACCCACTTATAATAAAACATGTCAAGTTTGTCAGGTTTGAACCGGACTAAACGCCATATCTTTCCCAAAATCATGAAGTATGTACTTATTATTGTGGCCATTACGTGACGTCGTAGCAAGTTCGTCACACTGAGCTCAGATTCCATCTGCCTGCGCGCTGTTTTTAGCTTAACGTCCATTGATGGGGAATACACATTTGGGTGGTGCAAACTTAAGCCAAATGATGCTAGCGCCCGTGTTGCCCCCCTGACTCTACAAATGCAAATGGTGCGTCTTTTCAGCAGATCTGAAAGCAACGGCCCCTTTACAAATTCTTCTCGATTATTCAAACAGCGAGCTGTATGAAAATGTTTCCTTTTTCGTTTGCTTTGGCTCAAAGCACCAGCTCAGATATACTCTGTGTCAGTAGGTTCACCAGTGAGTCGGCGAGCTTCATTAAACTCACACGACCACAGCAACTTCGGATCAGGCCTTGAACGATTTCCTTCAAAAATCCATCAGCCTGAGCTGTCTTTGTTGTGCTTTAAGGGGGTTAATTGAACAGAAGAGTACATTTGAAGAAGCCACTGTTGTGCTCACACTTTGGATATCTGCTTACTGGAATACAAATATAGGCTACTGGCCCCGACGTGCTAAAGGCAATAGCCATTAGACACTCTGCCCTCCAATTAAAAGGAACCCTTGCGAGGTTATTCTACTGCTGGTCCAACCCACAGTGCCAAAATCACGGAAACAAAGGCGAGCTTTCAACCAACCTCCATCCTTTGTAAAACCGTAGAGGGAGTTCTTGCTCAACACCCTAACTTCCTCTGTCAATCTGCACTTTCACCCAATTTGACTTGCTTAAAGCAGTTGCAGAGGGTATTTTAATGTGGATATTTGACCCTTTTGTTGAGTCGTGTCCAGCAGGAAAGCCACAAAAAAAAGACCTCCCTGTGTTATCGTTTTGCCCCACTAGTCTCTGTTATGGTTCTGGTCGTGAACCAGATGCCCCCCCTGTCAGGAAGTCGAAAACAACAATTCTATCTTATTTCACTGTAATCTGGGAGAGGCCGCTGCAGGCGAGCGGAGACACGCATCACTTCAAACGCCCCCTCGGTATCTCGTCTCTGAACGGAGCCTCGAGGGTGTGTGACTCACCTGTCGGTTACGGCGCGCGGCCCTCTACCTGGCCGCTGTTCCCTCCCCGTGACGTCACGAACGCACTCACACCTCCGTTCGACGCCGCTGAAACGTGAGCTCTGCCCCCCCGCCCCCCCGGGGCGGATTCCTCCAGTGGCCCCGTTCACTTCCCTCTTCTCGCCACGCTGGCGAAGCAGCAACAGGCATGGCGCGAACGCCCAGTGGACTCTAGAAGTTTGGGCTTTGAGCCGCGTTTCACAACAGTTTGGTTTCTGCTCTCGTCGTCGTCGTCGTCGTCATGGGGGAATCGCACGCCGCCGAGGCCCCGGCGGCTCTCCGCAGGCGCGCGACTTTAGCGGCGGAGTTAGGAGCGAGTCTGCGGCCGACGGACGGGACGTCTGCGGCGGCCCTGCAGAGCTCGCTGGCCGCTGACGTCAGCAGGGGAAACGTCCCACCGGAGACGGTCCGCGCCAAGTCGAAGAGCGACAAACGCAAACGCAGGAGTGACGTTAGCGACCGGCTGAGGTGAGTTGACGTGTCTGCAAACAGTTAGTAGCAATGGCACAACAGAGGGCGGCTCGAGGCGGTCTGAGCCACTTTGTGTCTGCTGGAGCCCCTTTTTCATTCATACTTTCACATTGACTTTTTAAGTTATCACAACTTCACCACTAACCACCACCCTTTTCCATTGATCATGAAATTCTGATAAAAGTACATTTTGTGTTAGCTTAATTCCCTTAGACCAGTTCTATAATACTAAAGTATCCTTGTGTACTGATTAGACCGTCGTTGGTATTTAGTACACAAGACTTCAGTTGAATATTTGTTATTGCGCTGCATAGCAAATTAAATGATAAAAATAGCCGGGTGTCGGGGTTCTTCACCTTTTAGTTTTCTAAGGTGCTGCTCCTCATAATATTCATCATTTCATGTGCAATTGACTCTGATATTCTTGGTCGTTTCACCCGTTAATCCATTTTGTTTCCGTAGTTGTCATAAGACCCGGGAGTCCCTGCTGAGTTCCACCAGTGGTTACAATAACTACCGAGGAATCCTCAACTGGTGTGTGGTCATGCTGGTAAGAGCAAGTAGAGTAAACAGTGCGTTTCCAGCTGGTTAGCAGTGTGCTACTACTTAGACCAAATAGCAAATTGTCAGTGCAATGTTCTTCTCTGATGTCCGGTGCTGATGCAAGAGAGTAAGCGTAACGCTTTTACTCGTCCTCCAGCGACAGAAAGTCCCTGAAAAAAAAGTCCCGTTTGAAGCAAGCAAAGAATCCAGGAACTTGTTGATCACCTCTGACCGGATGGTGGCAGTGACACACCGCACAGTCAGACCAAAAGAGCGGTTCATATGTTGGCTTTGTGGAAGTGTGTAGCTACCTTCTTCATCGTGATCTGAATAGTGTAGACGGAATGTTTGTGCTCATCATCTCCTTCCCATGAAACACCATTAAAACCAGAGAACCAATCAGATAACCCCACTGGCACGGAGTGATACGCTAATCTTTACCGCACTGCTGAAAAATGAAGTCCTACCAATATATAAGATGGTTTGAATCAAATAGCAGCGCAGATAGATCCGTTTGAGGGTTTGGAGAAGAAACTAGGATTGAGGAAATAATCAACACATGTGCAGGCAAATCATTTAACCTGATTAACAAGTTTATGTCAAGCCCAACACCTTTTGCAGCTCTTCCTCCTCTGTGCTGGAGAAAAGACGAGGCTCGCCAAGACCTCCTGTTAATCCAGGCTTTGAGCACAGATCGTGTTCCTTCATTCCCAAGGAACTTCTGTCCGATCCCCAGGCATAGAGCCTTTGTGCCGGGTAATGAGATATTACAATCCATTTAGAAAGAGGAAAGGCGAGGAGGGGAGACGAGAAAGAATGTGGGCACGAGGACGAGGACGCGATGATGATGATGAAGAGGAGGAGAAATAGGCCGAGGAGAGGAAGGGATGAGATGCAGCGAGAGGGACGAAAGCCGCACCAGCAGGAGCGAGAAGCTTGCAGAATCACAGTAATAACAGTCAATGACGTTGCTTTGTGTTGCAGGTGTTGAGTAACGCTCGCCTCTTCTTAGAAAACCTGTTACGGTGAGTGAGTTTGGAGTCCTTGGACAGTATTTCATCTGTGTCTTTTTCATATACTGACACATTAATTGTTATCATTAAAACAGGCATCCTGTGCGCTTGTACCCAGTAATTCATTCTCAAACGGATATTCCAATTATGTGATGAAAGATAACAAACAGAAGTACCAGGTTCTCAATAATTTCACAATCATCTTCTGGCTTCCACCAGAGGGATTTTACTAATCCTGTATTGTCTCTTAGCTAATCTTTTTTTGACAATAGCTGTGTTTTTCCTTGTAGCACTCACACATCCCTCATTGAAAATGTAATAAATGACTGTATTTCACAGGGTCCTGATATTATACATGGCAATCATCTCAATTGGCACAAAGTCATAGTTAATGCTGTTAGTCTCACCTCTGTGTTTCCTGATAGTTGCTGAATGGCTCCTGTAAAGAAAACACTACATTCAAATCTTCTATTTATCTTTAATACTAAACATCTGTGCAGTGTGTTGTTATTTTATATCGTAGTGTTTAAAGGGAATGACCTCATTAATTTACTCTAAAACACATTTCTCTAGATTCGTCCTCTTTAATCTGCCCTTTCCTTTTATGGTCAGGTATGGTGTTTTGGTGGACCCTATTCAGGTGATTGCCTTGTTTCTGAATGATCCCTACAGATGGCCAGCAGCATGCCTGGTTATTGGTAGGTAAACGTTTCCTCTGTGTTCCTCTGGGTCACCTGCTAGGATCAGCCGCATATTTAAACAGCATAATTCCTGTGTTTAAGATAACGACTCATATTTGGATTGGTTACTTTTTAATAAGGAGGGAAATTAGATCAAGAGTCACTTAAAAATTGTTTTATTGAGAGTAAAATGCATCCGGAGCATAGATACATACCTTCTGCTAGATTTGACAATAACACTTCAAAACATGGTGGTTAAAATGTGTTTCTTTTCTAAAATTCAATCATAACATTAGGATAGCTGCATTTAACAATGAGAATGTTTCGAGTGGACTAATCTGACTTATTTCAAGTCCCGTGTTAAGACACAAACAGGCACATGCTATATTCAACGTTTATTTAAATATTTTATTTCATGCTATATCACAGTGGGTCTGCAGTGGTGCAGCTTACAGTGTCTCTAGAGGGAAATTCACCTGCCCCATATACTGCACAGTGATACCGTGCTGCAGTAAGAGGAAGAGAGTGAGAGAAGTAGGGAGCAAGAGAAGAGAGAGAGAATATAAGCGAAAGGGGAGAGATTAGCGGATTGGGGAAGAAAGAGCGAGGGGCCCGATGCAAAGTGCTGCATTGGCACGGGACAAGGGGAGAGGGAGGGAGGAATAGACGGAGGAGTTAAGGTACATGACCACGCTGACTACTTACTGAGACAGGTGAGAATGAGAATCTGTTTACCGTAACATGGACAGTAAAGCAGCTCGTTCCCTGAGGACATTGAGTCCTTCCAGAGTCACCGCAGCAACTTCCTCCCACACACAAACACCCCAAACACAAAGTCAATTACTAAGTCTGCAATGGACGGCAAAAAGAAGAGCTTTCCATCCAGGCAACTGTTCCTGTAGTGACCAAAATAAAACCGACACTAGTGTCAAGTGTCTCACAATGCTAGAAGTCTCGTACTGCCTGTCATCAAGTGTCTCTGTAGACAGTAGATGAAAGGTTCAGTTGTGTTTAATGGTTTGTTTTTTTCCAGTTTGATGGACATTTGGTCGGAATATTTGCCGGGGCTCAACGGGCTTGTTTTCAAGAGAGATTTAAAAACAAAACAGCCATAGCATGCCATGACCTTCATATAGGACTGTGTGTGTGTGTGTGTGTGTGTGTGTGTGTGTGTGTGTGTGTGTGTGTGTGTGTGTCATTGTTAAAGACACACACACACACACTTCAAATGACACACATTCAACATTTTATTTTGATATAATGTCACACACTGCCCTGTTTAAAACATTTAAGTAACTCGCTATTTTATTTTTATTTTTAGTGGAGCAGATTTAGCTGAAATGAATTAAATGTTGGCAAATCATCTTTTAGCAATTTGCATGTTTTAAACACAAGTGGCCTTTGAGAGGAAATTACAGATGTTCTCTTGAATGTCAATCATGCCTAACGAGCATTTCTACGGACACCTAGTGATGTTTCTTTATCTTACAGACTGCAAATGATGACACGTTGAATAAAATAGTTGTCACTTGTGCACCTTCAGCTTGCCCAATCAGCAAATCTGGTCATGGCCACATGAAATAGAGTTTTGCATGTACGGCTTTTGTTCCCTTCTCTCTTCATAGCATAAGTAAGAATACTATGAAGTCAAAAACAGGCATGTGACATGGCTGCACCATGAAACACGTCGATTTTTGGATGCTGATGAATAGTTGCATTGATGACAGAATGATAAGACACAGTAATCAAAATGTCGGACAGTTGACACATCTGCTCACTCTAGATTAGATTGATTGACATGCTAATGCACTGATTAGGGTCTTAAAATGGAACAATTGCTACAATTATGTGCCATCAGTGATGCTCAGCCAGGGTAATGAGCAATCGACATACCAGTGGTTTCCTTAAACTCATTCTGCAGTGAGCTGGCCTGGGGTTTAAACTGAAAACTCCCCAAACAATTCAGGCCAATTTACTGCAAACAGAATCCGGCTCTGTGGCAGCAGTTCGTGCAAGATGGGCGATGCATTAAATACCACGTTGGGTCCAAACTTTAAATTCAGGATATTGTAGCTGTTTAATACAAAAAAAAACCTTTGCTTTAATTTCCATTCCTCGAGATCTGAAAAAGGCAACAACAGAATATAAAATGACATGTGTGTGCACGTGTGCATGCCCACCCACCCGACCAGCAGTCGGTGTGTGCTGTGCGACGCATATGCTCTGTTAGTGCTGATTCATTTATTTCATCAGGTGTTCATGTTTAATCATGCATGTAAGTGTGTGTGTGTGTGTGTGTGTGTGTGTGTGTGTGTGTGTGTGTGTGTGTGTGTGTGTGTGTGTGTGTGTGTGTGTGTGAGATACCGTGGTATATGTATGAAACAGCCGGTGTAGGGCAGGTGTAAAGCTTAATTCAGACAAATACTCGACTTGAGACCGAACCAGTGCACCCAGTAGCCTTGAAACCAACATATCCTACCCTTACTTATTCATCCTTTCATCCCGCGTAGAACCGCCAGAGGTAAATCTATAAGAAAGAACCCAAAATTTTGAGTGTTTCAGAGGAACTGACATGATTCTCTCGTTGTGTTTTGACAGTGTCCGTTGTGTTCGTTCTGGTTGCTCTCTACACAGAGAGGCAGCTGTCCAAGGTGAGTGGAAAAAAACCCCACTTGCACTAAACATCAGATAAACTGTGGATTTTAACAGAGCTGTTGAACTTTCCCTGGAGGGATTATTTTTCTAAAACTGACTGACTAGTTGACCCTCCCAAACGGCATCTTCAAGTGTTAAATGGTAAAATGAGAAATTAATCCATTTAGGGCACATTCAGACTGTTCGGCATGAATGTGGAACATTGTAGACCTTTTAAAGACTTCAATAGACCAGCGTAATTTTAAATTTGGTTAACTCATTCCAAATATTCAATTCAATTTGTAAGCAGAACAACGTTCATGTTTAGCTGCTATGATCTCCACACCGTTTTTACAATAAGCTCAACAGTAATTCACTTCATAGAAAATAAAATAAAAACCATTAGTTGGGTGGATGGTGGTTTAAAATAGGCTACAACTTGTCTTTAAATTTTAATGCGAAAACTCCTGCTGTTCCACTTTGCCTCTTTTTCTGCCCAGGGTTCATTCACTGAAGTCGCTGGGTTTCTGGTCCACTGCATTAACATGGCAATCATGCTAACGCTGCCTGCTGCAGTGGTCCTATCGGTCCCTTCCGTGACCCCAGGTAACATATTTTTCACTGTTAATGTTCCGTCTCTGCAGCCTTGCCACGATCAGCTGTACAGGCTCGTAGCATGCGTGATGCAGCCGAACCATTATCCACCCGTTGATAGTCGGCACTGTTGTCACGTGCATAAAACAGATAGATAGATAGATCGAACGATTAGGTTGACATTCACGTCCTTGCCCTTCAGAGAAACAGCCGACCAGTTTGATGGTGCAGTAAAAGACATCTCTTATACGGAGCCATAATTGGTCGGTTAGTGGTAATGGACCAGTTGGTCATGACTGGATTATTTCCAGCTGGCTCTGAGGAGCAGAGAGGAGCAGAGAGATGCCAATGGACGGGTGGTTTGCAGTGAAGGGTCATCCAGGGGTCACCTTCTTCTGTCTTCATCGGTCTGCCTGACAGACACCACAAACGATACGATTCACCCTTAATACATTAGCAATATCTTACACAGCGTGATGCACTTTTGAGTGATTCATTCAATATTATTCATTCATATTTTGATCCGGCAAAGAACTTGAAAATGTAAAATATGTCACATTTCTCTCTTAAACTACAAACGATCCAAAGTAGTGGAGTGTTTCATACCATTAATATAATATATTTAGCTCAGCTTTTTCTTTAATCTTAATTTGGTCCAAGAAAATGATTGCTTTAAGTCTTCTATTCTTTCCCGTCTTGGTTTATTCTCCTCTCCTCTTTCTGTTGAGGTGAAGGAGTTAAGGATTCGGTGCATCTGTCTGTGATTCTTTGTTTCATGCTTGATTTCAAATTGGATTGCATCTGTCTGAGGGTGGTGCTTAAGGTGAAGTCCAGCATACATGGTACATTAACCATTGGGCTGGTTTTGCTGGACTTTATTTATCGAACTCCCCCGTGGTTACCACAAAACTAAATCTCTACTAAAGTTCCTGATGAAACATTTGACAGATGGCAACAAGAGCAATATGAGGGAAATGAATCTCGGGACGCGTATATAGAATCTAAAGGAAGACAAACACTACTTTTGAGGTTTTTCAGAATGCTGGTAGCGCTCAGTGTGGTGGACAAAGGTAGAAATCCACTGTTCTTTTGTGCGTTTTGTGGGCGGTGATTGGTTCCATTGGTATGTTTCCAGCCACTTGCTTTAAGCTCCGCCTCCTTGTGGTTCTGTGATATACGGTGGCCCTCTTTGGAGTGTAGCAGCCTCACAGAGCCAGAGAGGCAGATGGTTGATGGTTAAGATCTGCTGTGGCTTGATGACAGGTGTGCAGACCTGAACCGTAATCTATTGGAACAACAGGCAATTTTTGTGTGTGTGTGTGTGTTTGTCTTCCTCTCTGTTCAGCATGATCTTTGCTATCAAGCATATGGTTATTATTGACAAAGCCTGGTAGGCAAACTGCTCAGTTAGCCAAGGAGTGTGTGCGTGTTGTTTTGTGTGTGTGTGTCTACGGGCACAATCTACGAAGACTACAACATGATTATTATGCTAACATCAAATGGTTGTTTTATATTGATTCACAAAAGGCTACAGCGACACCGGTTTTATGACCACGCGCACACACACACACACATGCTGGTAAACAAGGGGACTAAACTGTACAACAATGATGTCCTTGGCATAGTCATGACAGTTTGCTCTCATACTTTTTAGCTGGGATGATTTATTTTTCTGGGCATGTTTGTTTAAGATCAGATGACAACGTTTCTTCTGCTCTTCCCCTTCACGTGTCCACTGTTTTAATCTGCCTCTCTCTTTATTCTTTTGTTTTTCTCTTGTTTTCCATTCAGTCTGTCTCTCTCCTTCCACCCCCCCCCCCACTGTTTTTCCAACTTTGGTTGGTTTAACCCCATCTCTGCTTCTCATCCTCCAACTTCTTGGCAGTATATCATTTTGTTACAAGTTCTCACATCACAGCTTTATTCAAATGTCTCCCTCCCTCTGTTTCAGTTGGGGGTGCGTTTGTCCTTGGGACGTACACCATCCTCTCCCTAAAGCTTTACTCCTATAAGGACGTCAACATGTGGTGCAGAGAGCTGAGCATGATCAAAGCCAAAAAGTTGTCCAGGTCTCTCTCTTGTAAGTCACACAAACACAAGCATTTTTTTGGAAAGGGGGGCTTTTTAACGAGTAATTTATTCTTTGCTAATTTTAAGGTCAGTTTTAAATTTCTTAGCCCAACCAATCTCTTGGCCCCTTGATTATGTGGTTACAGGGACATCTAACGGCAGATACTTTGTACTGCAGCTCTTAAATATAACGGAAGTAAATCAGAAATCCCAATCATCTAATTTGTGCATGTCAGCACTTGACTTCATTATATAGTTTTGTTAGTAATGTAATGTGAACTTGCACATTCCTTCCTTCCGCAGGTCCCTCAGCACAGCACTTCAACGAAGCCGGCCGTAAAGTCTGTTACCCTGGCAACCTCACCATCAGAGGTATCTTCCTAGAGTTTGTATGAAGCTGACAATGTTTTTTGTGCCTCTTCCTCTTTTTTTTGTTCTCACATATTTTGACTAACGGCCACTTTGACCTCTTCTCCACCTCTGTAGACATGTTCTACTTTGTCTTTGCTCCAACTCTGTGCTATGAGCTCAACTTCCCCCGCTCTCCTAATGTTCGCATGAGTTTCCTGTTGAGGAGACTACTTGAGATGGTGAGGAAATATCTATAATAATATATACCGGCACCTTTGCAGTGATGCCACCACTTGGGAGTGTTTCTGTGAATAAAGAACTCTCAAAAGAAAAAAAAAGAAAAAAGATATCTGTATAACTTGCCGCTAAAGGTCATGATGATGAATACGTTTTAATGTAGATTTTGCTTATTATAAGGGAAAAGACTGGGCGTTAAGTTTCTAGTTACACCACGTTAACTTAAATGCTGAGATATGGGGACAAGATGAAAGCAACAGTCCAACAGGGAAAAGAACATAAGCATAAACATGTAAATGTGAATGTCTGTTTTAAACATTATTGCATAATTATTTTCCTCATTGATGCGTAACTCAAATGTGATTTATACTGACGCACTCCCCAGATTATCTTCTCATGTGACTCACTTTATTGATTTTTTTTTTTTTGCCCCCAGCTTTTCTTCATCCAGATGTTGGTTGGTCTCACCCAACAGGTAAAGTCTTGTGACGTAAACCAAAGATGTGTGGTGCTTTTTTTTCTGTCCTTTTGCATTTCAGGTTTTTTATGGTTATGAGGATGTGATGTGATCGTATTGCCCTTATTGGTAAAACTATGAGAAAAATGAGTAAACATGCGGGCAATATGTATAATAATAACTTTACGTGCTTTTTGCTGTCTTTCTATCAGTGGATGGTTCCCATTATTCAAAGTTCCATGAAACCACTAGAGGTGAGGAGGACAGAATGACAGTGAAACGTATATTCCTTCAAATGCAAAGTGTTACTGTGCGTCTCCTGTTAATCTGTTGCTCTTCCCATCTGTAGGACATGGATCTGTCCAGGATGACTGAGAGACTTCTACGATTAGCTGTGAGTATGTGCCTGCATCTGAACAACCATTCACTAATGCTGTTTGTCCCAATGCTTATTACAACTTAGTGATTGACCTTAACTCCATGCAGCCGTATTTATTGTTGTTGTGTCCTTCCGTCTGTCCAACTCTTCTCCAGGTCCCCAATCACTTGCTGTGGCTGATGTTTTTCTACGGCTTCTTCCACTCATCCATGAACTTCACTGCTGAGCTGCTGTGCTTTGGAGACCGACAGTTCTACAATGATTGGTGGTAGGTTTTGATGTGTGTTGCTAAGGGATTTAATGAGATGTAGTGGACGTTGGGAAGCATTTGCTTGCTTACTTGTAAATGAAAACGTTATGTGTATATAAGCAGCTGTGTTCTATAATTTCAGTACTTTGCAAAATGTATAGATAAGTAATTTTATGCGTTGCACATTTGCTGATATTAATAAATCAACTCCACCCGTCAATGCACAGTGGGATAATTCCTATCGTTTCCCATGTTCCTGCACAAAAAGAAAGATTCTTGACTCTCCATTTTCATCCGTTTCGATCCAACTGCCTTGGATACATTGTTTAAACCCTGTAATGCTTCAATCCTTTTATTTGCTGACTCTTTTAGGAACTCTGAGACTGTGACACATTTCTGGCAGAACTGGAACATCCCGGTACACAAGTGGTGTATTCGGTGAGTTATCCGCACTCTGCACAACGAGAAGGAGCATTGAAATTTATAAAAGTGAACACGGGGGACAGCAGTGGGTTTGATGCAGGGAGAAAGACTTAACAAGGCACACTGATACGTTTGGGAAATTGATTCATCTGGCTGTGAGAGAGTAAGTACTAATAATAAATGCGGCGCCGGCAGCCAGTTCCACATAACCGAACACAACAGCAGGAGCAAACGCAGGGTGGTTATATTAAACGAGACCAAGCAAATGAAATTCTATTTAAAGGGTTTAAGGGCTATTTACTTTGAATTCCTGTCAGTCTGGGAGATTTGAAGCAAATAAGAGAGTTGAAATACTCCCACAGGCGTTGTTTCACATTAGGAAAACATTTTAGACATTCTGATTTACAACCGATGTCCATCCAGCACATCATCCGTCCACTCATCCATTTCCACGTTTGTATTTTTGTCTGTCTCGTAGGCACTTTTACAAGCCGCTGCTTAGGAAGGGGTTTAGTAAAATAGTCAGCCAATCGGCTGTCTTCTTCCTGTCGGCTTTTTTCCATGAGGTAAGGGCTGTTGCGCCGAAACCACTTTCTCCGCTTGACTTGAATACACTGCCTGTTAGACCTTAAATGTCCTCAAAAATCCAGTTTCTGGTAGATGTTTGTATAAATTATTATAGATTATTATTATTTTTAGAGAGCACATTTTCTTCCATGTAATGATCCTTGTTTCCTTTGTCTGTTTCTGTCAGTACTTGGTCAGCGTTCCTCTCAGGATGTTCAGACTTTGGGCCTTCATGGGCATGATGGCGCAGGTAAGACCCAACACCTGTCACAGATGATAAACGTAGCTTTGGTTGGCACAAACATGTACTGTTGTAGAAATATATATGAAAAGAGACATGTATTTCAATTTGAATGTTTTTTGGCTCTTAATGTTTAAAAAGGTAATCATTCATTAACTTGAATAACAGCCTCATTAATGTAACAGTAGCATGGGGATATTTTACATACCATGGGGAATATAATGGAACAATGGGCCCTCTTGGTATTTCCTGAAATTGTTAGTTTGTTATTCATCAGAGTGCTGAGTCATAAAACACAGGCAACAGAAATGATTACAAAATAAACAACATTTTCAGGCCGTTACTCACTGTGTTTACTCAATTTCCATTTGTGTTTACTCTTTAGCTTCCATTAGCCTGGTTCGTTGGTCGCTTCTTGCACGGTAACTACGGTAACGCCGCGGTGTGGATCTCTCTCATCATTGGTCAGCCATTCGCCGTCCTGATGTACGTCCACGACTATTATGTCCTGCATCATATTCAGGAGGCTGACTGATGTGCACACACAAACACACACTCGCTGTGTCAACAATGTTTTTCACACTTCATCTCACATTTACTGTCTCTAACAAACAAACACACAAAGGTAACTCTTCGATCCCGTCCAGATATCTTACTTTACGTGTCAGAAGGAACTGATCACAGTGGGTTTACACTTTGTCTATTGTATCTCCTTTCTATGTGATGTTTACTCTTCCATACATTTGTTTCTTAAAGTTAGGAAAAGTAAGAACAACTCTTTACGGCAAAATGTTGAATCTTGAAAGATCACTGTGAAGTAGGAAGTGAGGCCTCTCTTATCCAGATATGCAGCCGTGCAGCTTTTACTCAGGTGATTGTTCATTCTGTGATGGACAGCGTGTGAACTCCATGGTGTTTAGCTGCCATTCAGCTATTTGATCAATTTAATTTATCATGATTTATGTGCTTTTGTTTGTTATTATGGAGAGTTATGATTCACTGTGTTTCCTTTTCAAGCTGCTTAATTTGCCTGTTTTTAATGTGACTGGGACACTAATAATAATTGTATGAATTTATTGAATGATTATTTTGTATGATGTTTTGCTTTGTCAGTTATAAATAGGCCAGCTCTCTGTGTGTCTGTTCGTCCATTGCAAAATTACAGCACACCTCTGTTTGTGCTGCACTTTTTTGTGGTGATTTTGCATGTTTTCTTTCGTCATGCCGCTATCTCATTGAACTGTTGCCAAGTAATGATATCTAATCATGCATCTGAATAAAATTTCTGTGTCTGAAAATAGTTCAATTGAAGACCTGCTTTCCAGAACGTTATTTGTTGCTAATGTTTTTTCTTAATGTGTGCTTCCAGATATTATAAGTGACTTCTGAGGGTAAAACATCAAGTTCAGTCTGACATTTGTTGTATGGTCCAGGAAACTTTAACCGTACTGTTGTTTCTCCGAAGAGTACAGTTCAATCAGTTACAGGACAACACCCTTTTAACTTATTTCACATCAACAATCTGCTGAACTACTTTTTAGAGGAGAGTCAATAGGTTGAGAAGCGAATCCCTGATCCAGACACTGAACAGGTGAGACGGTTACACGTTATTGAGTCGGCTTTTTCAAGCTGAGCTTCAGCATAAACACTGTTTTGTGTCCAGTCAGGAATGAACATTACTATTCCATTCCTCCTTAACTTGTATTAATTTACTAATCTACAGTCTATTTTAAGGGATCCGAACTTTGAATATTGTATTAATCTGTCTTTATGCTAAAAGGAAATTTCTCAGTCAGATTCCCTTTTTTGTTCACATGGTAAATGAGCCTGACCTGTAAACGTGTGTCCAGACAAGCATTTTTGATTAATTCATTTTCTTGTTTCAGTCACAGACATTTAACAAACCTTAAATTACTTAAATCAATAGTTAGCTGTTGGATTCATCTTGATGGATAACCTACCTTGCTTAATATCTAACTTGAAGAAATAAACATAATTTTAAGACTTTTCTATTGGGAATCTCAGCCAGGAGCACAGAGTTGTGTGTGCGTGATCTTTCATCCAGAAGCTGAACAGGATGGGACTGTGAACCTGTATTTTGTCAGATTGACAGTGAATTAAACACTAAGTCTGAGGCGTCTCACAAAGTTTCTGTAGAGGTGTGTGTGTATGTGCTCCTGTGAGTGACATCTGGTTAAACAATTGTCTGTGAGGATTAGCGTGTCGATGTGACAAGAGAAGCGGCTTTGCAGAAATACCCGATACAATGTAGAGTAACGGCCCACAGAGAAAATGCACCACCTTATTTTCTCCTTTTTGACTTTTGGTTTAATTCGAAGAATTAGGACTAAATCATCTCCAAAAAAAGGACTTGACCGACTGTTTCAGAAGAGGTTCAGTCTGGAATATGTGCACATGTAGGGACTCGCTGGAAATAAAAGCATCACCGCTTATTGTCTGGAATAGAAATTGTTGACCTCCTATGCGATAACGAGGAGGTTTTCGTTGCAAAACCCCCCAGAAGCAGCATTTGAAGTGGCGGGTAGTGGCTTACAAGAGATGTGGTGGGCAAGCAGTGGTTCTACCAAGAGGAAGATGTGCAATTATTTAGCAGTCGAATGCTTTAGCAATTGATTGCTCACATCTGTCTTCATAACCGCTACTAATTCCTCCATCCTCATCTCTCATCATTCCTCAAAATGTGGAAGGTTCCCGCCATAAATAAAGCTTTCCAGTTCCCCTTGTTGTATTGAGTCACACCTTTTTTATGCTGCTTTCTCTGTACATCCACGCGCGCAAACAGGTCATATAAAGATCCGTCATCTAAACACCTTTACGTTGCGACAGACGCGCTGTAATCACTCTGTCGTCCAATCTTTGCCTTAATCGAAGGAAAACTATTTCACTCCTCTCGCTCTCCCGCTCCCCCTTCTTTCCTCTCCGTCCCCATCCCTCACCTTCTCTTCGCGCTCGTCGCCAGTAACATGTTGATCCATGGCTCTTCTCCTGACATCCGTTATTCCGGATGTTTCCGGGAAAAGTTGAAAAGCTGTGAGTGATGATGATCCTCTTGACAGGAAGCCAGGAGACACAAGCCTGCCTCATTCTGTAAGATGGATGGAGCATCCAGGGACACGTTGGAATGAGACATTTGACAACCGTACATCTGAATACAACATTATGGACGGGCTTTTTTGTACTTATAGATTCAAGTATGTAGGTGATAAACAAAACATTAGCGCGTCAAATGAGACAAACTTCTTACAAAACCGGATTTCTGAAATGATATTTTGCTTTTCATACATATTTTGCGATTGCAAATACACATAAAATAATAATTTAGGCACAATAACTAAAACACCAGACCTAGGTTGCCATCCACTTTACCTCTATGAATAGGATTCAGATCTGCTTTTTGTTATGCAGAACAATTGGGGTCATGTTTGCAGAGATTGTTAAAGGAAGTAATTACAGGACTTTGTGTTTTGAGTTTTTGACCTATCAGCGCTTTCTGTCGTCGCCTTACAGTTCGGTGCCATAAATCACCCACCCATCATTTATATTTATTGGGTTTTGCCAAATCCCTAATTTTCTAGTTGGAACTACTGTTATTTTATATCATAAATGAAGAAATGTGTGGGTGCAACAACATGCAGGTGATTTTTTACAAATGATTTCTTCTGCTTTTTTGAACCACTTTAAGCCAAAAGTTGTCTTCGTACTATTTAGTGGTAGTATTTACATCTCAGGGTGTTATATTCTAATTTCCTAAATACATCATTGCACAGTTAAACCGTAGTCTTTTCACCATCTCCATGATGTTTTACCTTTAATGTTACTTCTCTGTTACTACGTTATGCAATGTCCACCACATTATTTGTTACGTAACCATTTCCATTTTTTTATTTACATCCAGAACCGGAACTTTTCTGGACCAGTATGGCACTTCTGAAGCTATGTGTCGTTCATGTTGTGTGCACTAAGACATCTATAGTGTGTGCACTGTGGTGTGTGTGTGTAGATATGCAGACACGTGAGTGTCCAGGCCGAATGTAAACACACACTGAGACTTCCTGTCCAAAGACCAAACGGAGGGAAGATTTAGATTGAGAGGGAGGGAAGTAGACAGACGGAGTCATTCAAGAGAGAGACTGATAATGATGCCTACAGCGAAAGAAATCCCAGAGAAGAAGAGAAAAAGACACATGGAAAGAAGTAAGACGAGCAACAGTTAAAGAAACGAACACACTGAGTGACTGTGGGGAGGCTGTCAGAGTGACAGAAATGACGGGGCTGCACACATCCGAGTGTGTTGATCACTACAGCCAACCTGCATGATTCAAGGAGTCTGAGACACGACACCAACAAGACAGGAGCATTTAATTCCTCACTGAACTGCTGAAGCTGTTCCAGAAAAGTAACGAATGTAACTGGATGTTTGGAGACGATTCAAAGGTGCAAAGGTCACGGAGAGTTCAAAGCATCTCTGCTTCGGAGAAGACATGAGGACACATCAGCTTCACCAGACAGAGATTTGACTTCACTGGAGTTGGTCTACTGGTTTGACTGGTTAGTCTCTCTTTTTTCTCTAAAGGTAAGTTGTCTTCAGGAGTAAATAAACTGTTTACACAAAGTATTTTGTAAGTAAATCAGATCTGTCTCAGTTCAAGCAGACTAATAGGAAAGTAAAATTAAAAATGTTGTCCTTGTGCATCCAATGTACAATAAAAGTCTTACATTGAAAACACTGCAAGCAGTATTATCCACAGTGGAATTTTACATTTTCTAAAAAAGTTACAATCATACACCATCTCAGAGAACGTTATTAACTGTAACAATACGAGTACATGGAAAGACCCCTGTGAACCTTTATTGCATGTACACGTACATCCATCACTAAAATTGTTCAGTTTTCCTTGAGGAGCTTTCTGTGAAGCTCTAATTTGATGCAGGACAGCGTGAGATCTGTTTTCTACTACCCCATCCTGTGTCTCTCCCTTTCTTTATGAACCTCTCTTTCACACACACATCAACGGGACTCCCACGCTGTTGGAATTTATTTGGACAGTGTTATTTGTGATCTGCCTCTGGGCCCCAATGCTCTCCTCTCAGTATCACTTTACAGTCATTGCATCACCAGAGTCTTTGATGTCGAAAAAGGAAAAGCAACAATGGCATGGCAGCAGTGATGCATTAGATTACTGTCATATTATTAGTATGTGCTCAAACAAAAACGTGTGAGATATTCCATCTCTTTTCAATTATTGCCTCTGATGACAGTTTAGCAAATCCTACAGCTGCTATTAACATTTTATTTTGGATTTGCATTTGGGGGTTTATCGTTTTACCACAAATTAATAACACTCGCTAGTGTTTAGGCCAAATTATCAACTTTACAATATAGAACAAATGGTGGACAACTATGGGCTTCATTGTTTCTTTTATTCTTATTTTAGCTTTACTGCAGGAATGAAGCCGTGGTAGATAAACAGCCTGGCTAGCTTTCTTTTAAAGCTCTAAATAGGTATCGTGCTGTGAGCTAAATGCTAACAAGTTTTAGTTTAGCATCTTAACATTATTACACAGGAGCAGCACGTTGATGTGGTGGTTAGCAATTTAGCCTCGTAACAAAAACAGCCTGAGTTTAAACCTTTCTGGGTGGAGTTGGCGTGTTGTTTCTGGGCTTCTCTCTGGGTACTCCGGCTTTCTCCCACAGTCCAAAAGACAACCAGGGTTGGATAATTGGTGACTCTAAAACTACCTGTAGCTGCATGACTGGGAGAGTGAAATGTTGTTTGTCTCTACGTCGGCCCTGCGATTGACGGGGGCAGGGTAGAAGATGACCGACTCACATTATTCATTTTGCTACTAAACACACAGACTCAGCGCTGTCATTTGTCGTGACGTAGTTGGATGAAAAGAAGAACTGCGGCTTATGTAGCCAGATGGCCTGCATGCTATAAATACTGCTCAAAAGGTTCTGTTTTGGGGATCCATCTCCAGAGCAATCTGGCTACTATTAAAGTTAGCAAAATTAGGGAAAAACCGCAGGAGATGTTATAGACAAGGACGCATTTGAGAGTTTTTTGGCTGACTTGGACATTCAGATGTACTTATTCGATGCAGAGTGTACGGCACAAGTAATGCCGCGGATTAAGGCGCAGGCCGCTTGCGTGCCAAGAAGATGGCCGGGCGCCAGAAGCTGGTACACATCCTTGTGTATTAGCACAGCTTGCACGAGGTCATTTATTGTTTCAACTGACTACGCTTCCCATCAACACTGATCGGACATCCACATAAAGGGGCGGTAAATTTTCCTGAAATGTACAGGTGGGCTCCAGGAGACTTTGACATCACCGTTGGGTGTGTCTCGAGGTCAGAGCCCTCCTCTTTAGCTCTGTGTGGTTAGTTCATAATACGTTGACCGGCCCTGACAACAAATAGAAAACCACTGGATTGTATTACTTGTGATTGCCATTTGTTTCTGAACAAGATAAGTGGTTTAACACAATTCCCAGAGAGCAACGCTCATATCGCTTGTTAGTGCTGCTAACGATGATGAACTGGAGCTCCCAGTAAGATGAACAATATCAAGGGACGTTACTGTGAAAACACCCATTTATTTCCTTCAGCGGTCTTAATGTTCTTAGGCTCGACTGATCTTGTTAATGCAGATAAATCACATTCTTCATTCCTCAGCTGAGCATGTTATTCTCATTAGCATGGACAGACTACATATTTCATCAGCCTGACGATTATTTTGCTGTGAGAGACGACTTGTGAACCACGAGCAGACACAACACACACCGTACCAGCCTAGAAATTCACATGAGCAATTAAACAACGTTTGCCATGGAAGAATAGGGTTGTATTCCAGCCTGCAGCCGATTTAGGATGGAAACTCATTGTTAAGCTCCACAGAAAATGTGGTGTTCGCCTCGTTTGACAGTTTCTCATGTTTTAAATGCTTCTGATTTGTCATTACTAAAACTTGATCAGTAGGTTTTTTGGAGCTGTGTCATCATCCTGAAATCATACTCTACTGTTGTTAATATGTATACTATCATCTCCATCTGTCCTTCCATCCATCATCACATTAAATCCCATCAGCGTACACAGGCACTGACTGCCCTC